GCTAGCTGAAGAAGCTCTATAAACCAACAATAACAATACGGTGCTAGCTGAAGAAGCTCTATAAACCAACAATAACAATACGGTGCTAGTTGAAGCAGCTCTATAAACCAACAATAACAATACGGTGCTAGTTGAAGCAGCTCTATAAACCCACAACAACAACAATACGGTGCTAGCTGAAGCAGCTCTATAAACCAACAACAACAATACGGTGCTAGCTGAAGCAGCTCTATAAACCAACAACAACAATACGGTGCTAGTTGAAGCAGCTCTATAAACCAACAATAACAATACGGTGCTAGTTGAAGCAGCTCTATAAACCCACAACAACAACAATACGGTGCTAGCTGAAGCAGCTCTATAAACCAACAACAACAATACGGTGCTAGCTGAAGCGGCTCTATAAACCAACAACAACAGTACGGTGCTAGTTGAAGCAGCTCTATAAACCCACAACAACAACAATACGGTGCTAGCTGAAGCAGCTCTATAAACCCACAACAACAACAATACGTGCTAGCTGAAGCGGCTCTATAAAACCAACAATAACAATACGGTGCTAGCTGAAGAAGCTCTATAAACCAACAATAACATATGGTGCTAGCTGAAGAAGCTCTATAAACCAACAATAACAATACGGTGCTAGCTGAAGCAGCTCTATAAACCAACAATAACAATACGGTGCTAGCTGAAGAAGCTCTATAAACCAACAATAACAATACGGTGCTAGCTGAAGCAGCTCTATAAACCAACAATAACAATACGGTGCTAGCTGAAGCAGCTCTATAAACCAACAATAACAATAGGTGCTAGCTGAAGAAGCTCTATAAACCAACAATAACATACGGTGCTAGTTGAAGCAGCTCTATAAACCAACAATAACAATACGGTGCTAGTTGAAGCAGCTCTATAAACCCACAACAACAACAATACGGTGCTAGCTGAAGCAGCTCTATAAACCAACAACAACAATACGGTGCTAGCTGAAGCAGCTCTATAAACCAACAACAACAATACGGTGCTAGTTGAAGCAGCTCTATAAACCAACAATAACAATACGGTGCTAGTTGAAGCAGCTCTATAAACCCACAACAACAACAATACGGTGCTAGCTGAAGCAGCTCTATAAACCAACAACAACAATACGGTGCTAGCTGAAGCGGCTCTATAAACCAACAACAACAGTACGGTGCTAGTTGAAGCAGCTCTATAAACCCACAACAACAACAATACGGTGCTAGCTGAAGCAGCTCTATAAACCCACAACAACAACAATACGGTGCTAGCTGAAGCGGCTCTATAAACCAACAATAACAATACGGTGCTAGCTGAAGAAGCTCTATAAACCAACAATAACAATATGGTGCTAGCTGAAGAAGCTCTATAAACCAACAATAACATACGGTGCTAGCTGAAGCAGCTCTATAAACCAACAATAACAATACGGTGCTAGCTGAAGAAGCTCTATAAACCAACAATAACAATACGGTGCTAGCTGAAGCAGCTCTATAAACCAACAATAACAATACGGTGCTAGCTGAAGAAGCTCTATAAACCAACAATAACAATACGGTGCTAGCTGAAGCGCTCTATAACCAACAATAACAATACGGTGCTAGCTGAAGCAGCTCTATAAACCAACAATAACAATACGGTGCTAGCTGTAAGCAGCTCTATAACACAACAATAACAATACGGTGCTAGCTGAAGCAGCTCTATAAACAACAATAACAATACGGTGCTAGCTGAAGCAGCTCTATAAACCAACAACAATAACAATACGGTGCTAGCTGAAGAAGCTCTATAAACCAACAATAACAATACGGTGCTAGCTGAAGCAGCTCTATAAACCAACAACAACAATAACTTCAGTAATAACACAGCAGAGTATCGTACCTTCACTGCTGAAAAGTGACTTACCCAGCCCTCTCATGCCTGATAACTAATTATTATTAGTATTATTATTATTAGTATTATTATTATTATTATTATTATATATTATAAGAATATATAAGTGTGTGTGTATATGTTTGCTCACCTATATGTTCTCACCTACACATGGTTGCAAGAGTTGAGTCTTATCTCCTGGCTCCTCGTCTGAACTTACAGCTTGCCGGACTCACTGCCGTCATCACATGGGCAATTTTCAACTGATTCGCTGTTCCACTCACCGGACTTACTTCTTCCTCAAAATACTTATCGTTACTTAATATACATCATTAATTATAATTATATAATTATTCCATTGCAACCCTGACCTTATTTAGCCTAACATAAATATAAATTGTGAAACAGTTATAAGATTTTTTTTGGTTAGTTACGACGTATGTACATTTACAGTGGGAGATACCATTGTAAGTATTGTCTTCAGTAACTGTAATTAAGGTACCTGAGGACGGTTAAAGAGGACAGGTTGCTTGTACGGACCTCTAACGCAGTGTGGATATTCTCTAAGTTCATTCATATGTATAATATGCTGAATTTTCTCTAATTTCTTTTCAGATAGTTTCACTATTAGCCGAGGTCGGTGTTGAGACAACCATTTGAGATATGCCATAACAAGTAAGTCTTTAATATAATATCCATATCTTCCTGACTCTCGTCTCGACCCATACCTTGGCTAGGGCTTCCCGTTAGATCTTCTGATATTACTGCACTTTAGAAATGGTAAGTGGTAACCAGTTTTACGAAGTTTTTGGATACTTAAAAGAAGACAGAGACTAAATTTGTGAGAAGAGTTGCTGGAGGGAGAGAATAAGATAGTGAGTGAGGATGATTGTTTGTGTGAGGTGGTAGGACGATAGGACACTCCAGAGTACAGTATATATAACACCTCTTGGGTCCTTTCCTTCTCCAGTGGCTGTCTGCTGTCTCACTAGGTGTATTGGCTGTTTCACCAGGTGTATTGCCTGTCTCACCAGGTGTATTGCCTGTCTCACCAGGTGTATTGCCTGTCTCACCAGGTGTATTGCCTGTCTCACCAGGTGTATTGGCTGCCTCACCAGGTGTATTGGCTGTCTCACCAGGTGTATTGGCTGTCTCACCTGGTTATTGCCTGTCTCACCAGGTGTATTGCCTGTCTCACCAGGTGTATTGCCTGTTTCACCAGGTGTATTGGCTGCCTCACCAGGTGTATTGCCTGTCTCACCAGGTGTATTGCCTGTCTCACCAGGTGTATTGCCTGTCTCACCAGGTGTATTGCCTGTCTCACCAGGTGTATTGCCTGTCTCACCAGGTGTATTGGCTGTGTCACCAGGTTATTGGCTGTCTCACCAGGTGTATTGCCTGTCTCACCAGGTGTATTGGCTGTCTCACCAGGTTATTGGATGTCTCACCAGGTGTGTGTCTCCAGGTTTACCAGATATATCTAACAAAAGCAAGAATTCTAACTCATGCAAAACTAACTTTCTCACATGGAAAGCCTCTATTACGTAAGCTAGACTCTATCACTCTAAAGTACCGAGATTTGCATGGGTCACAGAGCTCGTTGCTCTATTTACAACTACAAAATTAATTTCACCAAACAATCACAACAGATTCACACAGGTTACTTTTTCCGATGACCTACAACAATATCCTTAAAATTCCCCCAGGGAGCAATTGTAAGTATCCCTCTTAAGGAATACCTGCAAGTGGTATCCCGAATTGTTATTTGATTAATTTTTTTATATATCTGTCTTTAAACCATCGTCACATCACTAGAACGCAAATCTTTTTCGATGAGATTTCCTTTGTTTTTCTTATCCTACCCAGACGACACCAACTATCACGGGCTCCGCTACTGTTGTTACTACTGCTGTTACTACTGCTATTACTACTGCCACTATCATGAAGACTACCTTGGCCTCGCTACTGCTGTGTGTACTTATCGCAGTCACAGCCTCTCCGGTCTCCAAGGATGCTACAGTCATCTCCCAGGTCTCCGCAGATGATCCAGCCTCCAGTGAGATCTTCAAAGATGCTATGGTCATCTCCAGAGAAGCCCCAGATTCCAGTCAGGTCTTCAGGGATGCTGCAGCCATCTCCGAGGTCACCGGAGGTATCCCAGAGCAGTTCAACTTCCCCGATGATGCTGTGGCATTCCTCGCGAGTGGTGCCACATCATCCAACCAGGATTCCCAGGGTGACTCGACACGGAAAGGACGTTTCTTCATTCCCATCTTAATCAATACAACAGCCCTGAGCATCCTCACAGGGGTGAACAACAACCCTTGGCGCAAGCCGTTCATCCCATTTATCTGTCCAGGTCTTATATGTAATTCTACAGTGTGGCCCTGGCCAGTGCTAAGGAAGTAAGGGGTGATGAGGTGACCCTGAGGTAATCTGAATCTGCTTCCTTCACTGTCACATCTTTCTTGTTGTTTCACTCTTTTACAGCCGTTGTTGATAAATTAGACACATGTGCAACACTTGGGAATCTTTAGTGAGGAAACGTTTCGCCACATAGTGGCTTCATCAGTCTTATACGAAGAAGAATGCTGGAAATCAGAAGGAATTTGGGGTAATCACTCCCTCAGCCTGGAGTCAATGCGATCAGTCCATCAATCTTTTCAAGATTGATCTTTTCAGGACTGATGGACTGATTACATCGACTTCAGGCTGAGAGGTTGATTACTTCGAACTCTTTCTGTGTGGAGAAACGTTTCCTCAGTAATAATATCTAAGTGTTGTACATATGTCTGATTTATCAAGTTGTTGGTTCTCTACACAGCCTTTGTTGAATATCACTGTTATTTATATGTTACCGTTGGATTACTGTTGAGCGAGAGAGTCAACTGTGTCGAAGTTACTGTTAGACACAGTTGACTGTTAGAGATGTCACTGCTGATACATGTTTGTGTGAGATGGTTGGCTCACTGTTGCTGTGGCAGGCAGTGAGTCACCGTTGCTGTGGCAGGCAGTGAGTCACCGTTGCTGTGGCAGGCAGTGAGTCACTGTTGCTGTGGCAGGTAGTGAGTCACCGTTGCTGTGGCAGGCAGTAAGTCACTGTTGCTGTGGCAGGCAGTGAGTCACCGTTGCTGTGGCAGGCAGTGAGTCACCGTTGCTGTGGCAGGCAGTGAGTCACCGTTGCTGTGGCAGGCAGTGAGTCACCGTTTGCTGTGGCAGGCAGTGAGTCACCGTTGCTGTGGCAGGCAGTAAGTCACCGTTGCTGTGGCAGGTAGTGAGTCACCGTTGCTGTGGCAGGCAGTGAGTCACCGTTGCTGTGGCAGGCAGTGAGTCACCGTTGCTGTGGCAGGCAGTGAGTCACTGTTGCTGTGGCAGGCAGTGAGACACCGTTGCTGTGGCAGGCAGTAAGTCATGTTGCTGTGGCAGGCAGTGAGTCACCGTTGCTGTGGCAGGGCAGTGAGTCACTGTTGCTGTGGCAGGTAGTGAGTCACCGTTGCTGTGGCAGGCAGTAAGTCACTGTTGCTGTGGCAGGCAGTGAGTCACCGTTGCTGTGGCAGGCAGTGAGTCACCGTTGCTGTGGCAGGCAGTGAGTCACCGTTGCTGTGGCAGGCAGTGAGTCACCGTTGCTGTGGCAGGCAGTGAGTCACCGTTGCTGTGGCAGGCAGTAAGTCACCGTTGCTGTGGCAGGTAGTGAGTCCACCGTTGCTGTGGCAGGCAGTGAGTCACCGTTGCTGTGGCAGGCAGTGAGTCACCGTTGCTGTGGCAGGCAGTGAGTCACTGTTGCTGTGGCAGGCAGTGAGTCACCGTTGCTGTGGCAGGCAGTGAGTCACCGTTGCTGTGGCAGGCAGTGAGTCACCGTTGCTGTGGCAGGCAGTGAGTCACCGTTGCTGTGGCAGCAGTGAGTCACCGTTGCTGTGGCAGGCAGTGAGTCACCGTTGCTGTGGCAGGCAGTGAGTCACCGTTGCTGTGGCAGGCAGTGAGTCACCGTTGCTGTGGCAGGCAGTGAGTCACCGTTGCTGTGGCAGGTAGTGAGTCACCGTTGCTGTGGCAGGTAGTGAGTCACCGTTGCTGTGGCAGGCAGTGAGTCACCGTTGCTGTGGCAGGCAGTGAGTCACTGTTGCTGTAGCAGGCAGTGAGTCACCGTTGCTGTGGCAGGCAGTGAGTCACCGTTGCTGTGGCAGGCAGTGAGTCACCGTTGCTGTGGCAGGTAGTGAGTCACCGTTGCTGTGGCAGGCAGTGAGTCACCGTTGCTGTGGCAGGCAGTGAGTCACCGTTGCTGTGGCAGGTAGTGAGTCACCGTTGCTGTGGCAGGCAGTGAGTCACCGTTGCTGTGGCAGGTAGTGAGTCACGTTGCGTGTGGGCAGGTTAGTGAGTCACCGTTGCTGTGGCAGGCGTGAGTCACCGTTGCTGTGGCAGGTAGTGAGTCACCGTTGCTGTGGCAGGTAGTGAGTCACCGTTGCTGTCTCAGGTAGTGAGTCACCGTTGCTGTGGCAGGTAGTGAGTCACCGTTGCTGTGGCAGGTAGTGAGTCACCGTTGCTGTGGCAGGCAGTGAGTCACCGTTGCTGTGGCAGGCAGTGAGTCACGTTGCTGTGGCAGTAGTGAGTCACCGTTGCTGTGGCAGGCAGTGAGTCACCGTTGCTGTGGCAGGCAGTGAGTCACCGTTGCTGTGGCAGGCAGTGAGTCACCGTTGCTGTGGCAGGTAGTGAGTCACCGTGCTGTGGCAGGCAGTGATCCACCGTTGCTGTGGCCAGGTAGTGAGTCACCGTTGCTGTGGCAGGTAGTGAGTCACCGTTGCTGTGGCAGGCAGTGAGTCACCGTTGCTGTGGCAGGTAGTGAGTCACCGTTGCTGTGGCAGGTAGTGAGTCACCGTTGCTGTGGCAGGTAGTGAGTCACCGTTGCTGTGGCAGGTAGTGAGTCACCGTTGCTGTGGCAGGTAGTGAGTCACCGTTGCTGTGGCAGGTAGTGAGTCACCGTTGCTGTGGCAGGCAGTGAGTCACCGTTGCTGTGGCAGGTAGTGAGTCACCGTTGCTGTGGCAGGCAGTGAGTCACCGTTGCTGTGGCAGGCAGTGAGTCACCGTTGCTGTGGCAGGCAGTGAGTCACAGTTGCTGTGGCAGGCAGTGAGTCACCGTTGCTGTGGCAGGCAGTGAGTCACAGTTGCTGTGGCAGGCAGTGAGTCACCGTTGCTGTGGCAGGCAGTGAGTCACCGTTGTTGTGGCAGGTAGTGAGTCACCGTTGCTGTGGCAGGCAGTGAGTCACCGTTGCTGTGGCAGGCAGTGAGTCACCGTTGCTGTGGCAGGCAGTGAGTCACCGTTGCTGTGGCAGGCAGTGAGTCACCGTTGCTGTGGCAGGCAGTGAGTCACCGTTGCTGTGGCAGGCAGTGAGTCACCGTTGCTGTGGCAGGCACTGAGTCACCGTTGCTGTGGCAGGCAGTGAGTCACCGTTGCTGTGGCAGGCAGTGAGTCACCGTTGCTGTGGCAGGCAGTGAGTCACAGTTGCTGTGGCAGGCAGTGAGTCACCGTTGCTGTGGCAGGCAGTGAGTCACAGTTGCTGGTGGCAGGCAGTGAGTCACCGTTGCTGTGGCAGGCAGTGAGTTCACCGTTGCTGTGGCAGGTAGTGAGTCACCGTTGCTGTGGCAGGCAGTGAGTCACGTTGCTGTGGCAGGCAGTGAGTCACCGTTGCTGTGGCAGGCAGTGAGTCACCGTTGCTGTGGCAGGTAGTGAGTCACCGTTGCTGTGGCAGGTAGTGAGTCACCGTTGCTGTGGCAGGCAGTGAGTCACCGTTGCTGTGGCAGGCAGTGAGTCACCGTTGCTGTGGCAGGCAGTGAGTCAGTGAATATGGCATGATACCTGAGATACAGTTGTCAGAATAAATACTCAACCGTCTAACTGTTTGGTTATTGACAACCTCTGATAGCTCTTGCCACACACACACACACACACACACACACACACACACACACACACACACACACACATACTGGCGACACTGGAGGATAGGAGGGTCAGGGGAGACATGATAACAACATACAAAATACTGCGTGGAATAGACAAGGTGGACAGAGATAGGATGTTCCAGAGATGGGACACAGAAACAAGGGGTCACAATTGGAAGTTGAAGACTCAGATGAATCAAAGGGATGTTAGGAAGTATTTCTTCAGTCATAGAGTAGTCAAGCCGTGGAATAGCCTAGAAAGTGAAGTAGTGGAGGCGGGAACCATACATAGTTTTAAGGCGAGGTATGATAAAGCTCATGGAGCAGGGAGAGAGAGAGGACCTAGTAGCAATCAGTGAAGAGGCGGGGCCAGGAGCTATGACTCGACCCCTGCAACCACAATTAGGTGAGTACAATTACGTGAGTACACACACACACACACACACACGTCTCATACTGCTAGTATCACCTCCAACAAGGGGGTGATAAGGGGAGACTAAGCCCCCTCTCTACGTTCCCACACTGGAGGTTCAGGTGCGGCCAAGGAGGTCATGTTACCTCCCTCTTTCCATTAACAGAAAAGAGAGTTCAAATACCGCACAACGAAGCTACATTAAGCCATACCAGAACATCTATATGTATTGGAAATATAAACACAAATGCAGTATAATGTGATCCTTTATTGACAACGTTTCACCCCCACAGTGGGCTTTTTCAAGTCACACACGGATCTACCTGGGGTTGGAAGGTACGAGAGTATTTATAGTTCAGAATGTTGAGGTCAGGTGGAGAATGCTGCATCTGATGATCTACCGGGTGGGGTTATAGAGTCTTGGGTAGCTAGGCGGGGGTATTGGACAAGTTGTGAGTAGATCTTCTGCAGTGTTCTATGTTCTTATGTGGGATAGCGATGAAGAAGTTTCTTGGCGAGTGGTTCAGCTATGTTATAGAAGCCATTGTTCTGGTTGAAATTGTTGGTTATAGAGATAAACGATGATTCCAGGATTCTTCTGTATTGAGTGTTGTCTTCTGTGGCTATAAGTCTTGAGTTTCTGTAGTTAATTAAATGGTTATGTGAATTGCGATGTTGTACACAGGCATTCCTTGTATCGTCAGTCCTGCTTGCATATTGGTGTTCTGAAATACGTGTTTGGAGGTCTCTTGATGTTTCGCCCACATATATTTGTTGCAGTCATTACAAGGGATTATGTATACCCCTGCAGAGGATGGAGGCTTGTCCTGTCTACTACTGGTGATGTCCTTGATGGTCGTGGTTGTGGAGGTAGATACTTGGAATGATGTTTTGGCAAAGATGTTGGAAACATGTTTGGCAATGGAGTTGGTGGGAAGGACTATGTATCTCTTCTCGGCAGTGTCTTCTCTGGGTGTGTTGAAGATGTTTAATGCTCGCCGTCTGCAGTCTCTGATGAAGTGGCGAGGATAGTGGAGTTTAGAAAATACTTGTTCATAAGAACATAGAACACTGCAGAAGATCTACTCACAACTTGTCCAATACCCCCGCCTAGCTACCCAAGACTCTATAACCCCACCCGGATGCAGCATTCTCCACCTGACCTCAACATTCTGAACTATAAATACTCCCGTACCTTCCAACCCCAGGTAGATCCGTGTGTGACTTGAAAAAGCCCACTGTGTGGGTGAAACGTTGTCAATAAAGGATCACATTATACTGCATTTGTGTTTATATTTCCATCGTGTCGGTATTTTATACCATTTATTTCCATCTATATGTATTACCATGTGTTTCTTACCATGCAGATTTAGACTGCAACTATACTGGATCCAGATCAAAAGCAGATACAGTGTAGATATGATCCTTGCATGTGTACAACACTCTCCTCTCCTGCAAGAGATCCTGCAATGTATTTCATTTAAGTGTTTGTCAGAGGATCCTTCTATTCCTAAGATCTGTTAAAAAATACGCAGAAATGAATGCTCAATAAATATATAAATAAAACTGCGCAAAAGAATGTTTAATAATAAGTGAAGCAAATTATGAAAGTTATATTTATTCAAACAAATAATTTTTAGTCTAGTGGCCAAATTTCGCTGTCTACAAATTTGTTTTGGGGTAATACCCAAAAAAGATCGCCGACCCCTGCATGAGTCTAGCCTGATAGCATAGCTAGTTGCAATAAACACAATAACTAGCACATTG